GGAGTCTGTCCGGCAGCACCCGGAGCTGCGTCAGAGATTTAGCATCGACCCGAGTCCCTCAAGGACGTGGTCTGCCCCTGGCTACAAGGTGGGTCCCGCCCTTGAGGCACACGCTGGATTTGGCCCTGGCTCTGTTTGAAGGTGGGTGCTTGGCATGACCCCTCTGCAATGCGCCCTGATGCTATGGGGATGGGTTGCACTATTATGGACCCTCTCTATGAACAGGCTTAACACCCTCAGGGGTTTTTGGGGGTAGAGTGGAGGTGAGTTTCTCTCTTGGAGGGTGGGAAATTCCAGTCTCAGTTGGCGTTATGATGCCAGGATTATTGAAATCAAGAGTTGAAGAGTAAGTTTTATTATCTAATCTGAAAGGCCCAGGGAGCTCAGGGAGCTCCTGGTGCGAGTGAGACAGTCACTGTACAGCTTTGGTCAAGGTTGCTTGAAGTTAGGGTTAGTATTTGAGAACAGAAAGGTACAAATCTCTCAATTATTGCCAAGTCTGTAAAGTCTGCTAACCTAGAGGAAACATGCTGAGATGGAGGCTCATGTTGGCTACGCAGAGCAGGTGCCGTGTTGTCGAGCAAGGAGTGATCACCAGTTTAACTTTAGGGCTATGGCTGTGAACTGGGTTAAGATTTCAGTTCAAAAAAGAAAACGTGCCGTTGCCTGGACTGTTCTGGACATCGCACAGGCCATGTTCTTGGTTGAAGGATGCAGGATGAAGGATGGTGATGAAATTCATTATTCTGTACAGAGGGAGAGAAGCTCCTGGTTTTTAGCAGTTGCATCCCAGTGGTGGAAGTCCTCCATTTCCCTGACACAAGCACAGAGCCGAAGTAACACACGATCCTTCTGTTTTGGTTTCATTTCATCCTTTTACAGTATGGCATATTTGCTGCAAGATTAAAGGGAATGATGAATTGCACTCTAGAGCTGGCATTTCCTAAGGACAATTCAATAAAAACATACGGGCATGCTGCATATGATACAGATCTTACATTCTTTGTAGGGTTAACATAGGTAGTAGCATGAGTCTCTGCCTGGCAAATTCTTCTGACAGATGCTTTCCTCATCCTCTCTGCCCCAAATAAAACCACCAGCCTTTTAAGATCGATAATCTCCTCTCATGCAGGTGAGGAGATTGCTGAGTTACCCCAGTAGCCTCCTAGGCTGGAGTGCAGACCCTGTCACTCAACAGTGCCAAGGGCATCAGAAGCAATTAAAGAAAAATGAGAATTGGTTGGAAGAATGTAATAATCATTCATCTAGCTGGGGAAAAAAATGATTTTATCATTGATATATTAGAAAGAGTAACATTTACTCCCTGATAAGCATTATGGCACCCACAGAAGTAAGTCTGAAACCTCAAGGACTTGTACCATAAATGATTTAATTCTAAAGAACAAGAAAACAATAATGTTGCAAATCAATCCAAGAGGCTAAGGCAGCTAGAAGTGGGCAGGGGAAGGCTTTCTCACTCCGGTCTTGGCCCAAAGTAAGAAGCCAAGTATCTCCCTGGACCCCATGCCTGCCTTTCCATAGCAATTTTGCTTCCCAGCATATCATGCCCAGCTTGTTTTTGTAATCACTCTTGCAGCTACTCTTGGAAACACACGGACGTTCACCCTTCGCGATTCTCACGTGTCCTGTCCTGTTGAGGCAGACGTGCTCACTGCAGGGTAAACTTGAATGGGGATGGTGACCTCCGGGTACAGAGGATAGGAAAACCAAAGATGAGTAACAAAGCAAGGTGGTTTTGAGGGAGAAACTGAAAACTGCCATAGCCTGTAAGTATCTCTGCCTGTGCTTTAGTGGCTGCCCTTGGACAGGCAGTTTTGTCACTCTGTGCTCAGCTTCTTGTTGCTCTAACAAGGGACAAGGAGCTTCATTGATCTTTGTGAAGCGTGCAGTAAGCGCCACATTTTTCTTTCATCTTCTGGATGTCCCTGCTATAGAACACATACATCAAACCCTGCCCATAATGGAGTAATTAAATGGCACTGCTAAAGGGATGTCATAGGATGGGACTGATTACAGCTCACCCAGAAATGTCTTCCCAAGTCCCAGGCCCTTTGACGTGATTCTCCCCCCTTTCTCTGAATTTCTTCCTGCATTAATTTCAGCCAGTCCTGGGATTATTTGAAAAAGGGCCTTGGGGGACTTGTTCAAAGGCACTGCCACCACGGACGACTTTGCTTTCTGAACTGAAGCATTTCACTCCTATCTGTCTGGACATATGAGCTGCTCAGCACTGCTTCATTAGGCAAGTTATTTTTAAATTCCCAGAAAGAGCAAAACATTGAGAGAGGAATTAGCATTTGCTGTTGAAACAGCTGCAAAAAAGAATAGGCAGAACACCCACTCCGGGCCCCTCCTGCTAGCCCTGTGATTAACCAGACGGCAGTACCCAAAGTCACTGACACACGCTCAAGCTGCACGAGATGTTAGGAATCGTAAGAAAATGTCTTTGAAAGATCTCTCTTCCCTCGAACCCCATCCTGTGTTTCCCACTTTCTCTTTCCCCCATTTTTCTCTTAAGGACCTTGACACTTAAAAACCCCTCCATTCTGGTTTCTCAACACAAATGAATGAAAAGATAAAGCCTGCCCAGGGTCCTTGCTTCCCCTAAACAATAACTAAAACCCAGCGGGCACCCGATACTTTCAAAATGCCAAGGGACAGCAATAAAGCTGACGTTATTTGGTAGTACTCTCGCCTGGTAACATGTTTTAGCTTCCCAATGGCTAATACTGCTCTTACAGCACGGAGTTAAAGCAGAAGGCATGGCAATAAAACTGTTAGAGGCACGTTTTGGTAGCTGTCTTTTTGCAAATGCTGATTGCCCTGCGGCTTGTGCTGCTCAGGGCAGCTATGGCTCACACTGATAATGTTACGCGGGTGGAAAAAAGTGTTGGAAAGCTGTAGCCCATTACGGAAATGGCTTAAACCTGAAAAGGGAGGAGAGATGACTCAAAATGGCCTTTTCACCTAACTGGGAGCACACACGTATTGCAGCTAAGGCTGCCTGCGTCTGCCTGCTTCACCTCTTCCCTTCGCCCCTGCCTGCAGTCACAGTATTTCTGTATTTATTCAGAAGAAAGCTAGCAGGAGCTGTTCTAATAACCTGCTCCCAATTCCAGCCTAACGAAGGCTGCCGGATTCCTCTGAATTAATTCTTGTTCAAACTAGAGTGTTTCCTTTGGAAAAAAAAAAAATCTCATTAAGTATTTCCAGTGATTCTTCAGTGACAGGCACTCTGCCATAGTCGGCAAATTGTGGGTGGACTGTTTCAGTGGACAACTTTCCCCACTGCTAAAAATATACAGCAACCTATTTTGATGTCCAGCTACCAAACACCACTTTGCCAGATAAAGAACGCTTTAGTGTTAAATCTGCCACTAGATTTAACCTTCCTAGAGACTGCATTTAAAATGTCCCTTAACCTTTTATTCCTTAATAAACTGTGTTCCTTGGGTGTTTTCTCATGAAGGGGTGTTTTCCAGCCCTCGGGGAAGTCTTCCTGGTGCCCACAACAAAGGTACTAAAACCCTCCTTGTCTTCCTTGGTGTCTCCCTTTTTGGTTCCATGGAAGCATTAGCGCCTCTTGGCAGAGCATCTCATTAGGAGCTCATGTTCAGCTGATTATTCCTCTTCTGAATCACTGTTTTCTATGACTTTGTCACCCGCCCCGTAGTCCAGCTGCCGCTCTATTCTTAGGCTGATGACTTTACATCTGGTGGCATTGAAAAACATGTTGTTTACTTAAGCTCAGCTCATTAAGTGATCCAGATTAGGTTTGGTACCAGTGACCTGCCCCTAACTTCTGTGCACCTGCAGATCACCAGTAATGATTTTATATTTTCTTGTAGGTCACTGATCACACATTAAGCGGTGTGGGGTCAAGAAGCGATAGGAAGGGAGCTGTGCCTTGTTCAGTGCTGCTTCTGCTTACAATTACACTCGGAGACCTATCAGTTAGTTTTCAGTCCAATTAATATTTGTCATATTGACTTACATCGTTCCTCTTTCTCAAGCAAAATATCGTGAAAGACAAGATCAGGTGTCTTACTAACTGAAGGTTTATTCTATCATCAGCACTACTACTTTAAACCACCTCTTACCTACATTACTCTACATTATTTTGCTTGGCATTGCTGTCAGCATGACAGACACATCACATTTGCTCCAGTAAACGCAATACTTTCCCCCCCCTCCCCAGATGGGCTCAGCCTTTAACTGAGTCTTCTGTAGGGCCCTGCTTTATCACAAAATGCGATATCCCTACCATTTCTTTTGCAGGCAGGCTTGTGCTTGTTCGTGACCACTCCACACCACGTGTTCTTCCCAGCAGTGCTGCTGGGCAAGCTCCTTACCAGCTTCTGGGGTTAGATCTGAAGAACTATGAGTGGGACAATCTGGCTTCGCTGTCTTTATCTCTGAATTAACAAGAGACCTGAGCTCACAGTACTGATGATCATCTCTCTCATACGCATACCATTGCCCACTTTTTTCTTTCAGTGATCGAGAACACAGTGACAGTAGCACTGTAGCATCGTGTTTCAGTTCTAACTCTTCCACCTGCAGCACTGGACTGCATTTACCTGGCTTCTTAGGGGACATACTGTTTACCTTTATTTTGCATAGCGTCCTTCATGTAAAGTAATCACAGAATACCGGAGTTATAAAACACGTACTTGGAAAGGATCACTTCTGTGCCACTTTTCTGACACGACTTCTAAAGGTAAAAAAAGCACAAGTTCTTCACCAGTTACGGTTTTGGCCCTGTTCCCATTGCTTGGTTGAGGGCTGCAGGACATGGTGTGCAGATTGGTTCATGCCACCTGTTGAGAGATGGGGAGCTCGCTGTTGTCCCCTGGGTATTCGGGGGATTTCTGTTCCATTCACACCAAGGTCACTTAAAACAGTGTCCCCCACAGGGGCGTTAAGATGGGGCAGAAGGGAGCAGTTGCTGCCACTGACATCTGGTTTCTTTCCTCTCACAGGACACAAGTACGAAGGAGTCAGATTTGAAAAGGGAAACTGCGGAGTCAGCATAATGAGAAGCGGTAGGCAGTTTCTGGTCGTTGAATGAGCACGAATTAAACGTTTGGGAAACCTGTAACCAACTTCCTTGCAAAAATGTGCAACAACACTTCTCTACAGCCAGGTCTTACCCAAACCTGCCGGTTGTTATTCTTTCTTAGGTAGCCTTGATCACAGAATGTCAAGTATTATGTTTCATTAACTCTTTAGGAGCCAAAGAGCTGCAAGAGATTTCACCTGGCCTCTTCTCTAGCAGCCGTTACCTGCGAGAGGCCAGGCCAACTGCCCTTCCTTGTTTGACTTCTGCTCAGGGAGAGGTCCCCAAACCAACCATGCTCCGTGGTGGCAGAGTCACTGTTATTTTGCCCAATGCTGCGGAAACCTTTGTGCCTGTGATGTAAAATCCAGTGGCTCCACAGCTTCCTGCACTACGTTTTGCACCGCGGTGCCTCTGGGCAGAGCTCAAAGACGTTCTCCAAACCCCATTCGTTTGTTTTGACGTTTCCAGCTCTCGCCTTTGAGAGCTTAGCACTGGTGTGTGGGAACACTAATACCCGGGAGCTAAGTAACACCAAGTAGACTTGGTTTTCTGTCTAAACAGAGAAAAAAGGAAAAATCGCTTCAAGTGTTTTTAACACTTGGAACCGAGAAAAAAAAATAATCTCCTTTTTAGAACTCTTCACCAATACAGTATTGGGACTGTCTATTTAATGGTAGCATCTTGCAATTGTGCCGTTTCTCAGCGTGTAACAATGTGGCGTTGGTTTTTTTGCTGCTCGTTTTGAGGGGAGGCAATGGAACAAGGTTTACGAGACTGCTGTAGATCAATCCGCATAGGAAAAATCCTGATACAGAGCGACGAGGAGACTCAAAGAGCGAAAGTGTACTATGCTAAGTTTCCACCAGACATTTACAGGAGAAAAGTTCTTCTTATGTACCCAATACTAAGTAAGTGTCTTTCATCATTATGTACAGTGAGTGCGCTGAATTTAAAGGCAGATTTCCAAATTTCAGGGGCTTTGATTAGGTTTTTTGCTTGGTTTAGGCGACATAGTAGGGAATTTATCAGGCTGTGCCAGAATACGTATTAGTCAGCCTGCACCAGCATGAATGCAGAGCAAATCACTTGGGCATGCCTCCGTTTGTGAGAAAGGTTGAAGCATTAAGACTTGATACAAATGTCATTTTTTAAATTTTGCCACGAGAAAAGACTCAAACAGTATTTTCCTCATGCTATTAAAAGACATTGTTGGATTACAGATCCTAGAAGTAAATTACTTTAAAATTAAATACAGTTAATGCTACCAAAAAAAAATTAAACCTGGTAAGCGTGGTAAGGAGTTTGTCAGACTTTTCCAGTCTAAGATTTAATTCTGGTTCTACACACGGAGCTCTTAATTGCCATTTTACTATTTTAGATGAGCTTTCTTGCCTCGGGGCTTTAATAAAATCCACCGACTTCAGTGCTGAAAACGTGGCAGAGTTGGCTGTTTCGGAGTAGAGATGAAGTTCCTTCATCGGGAGGCCAAAGTTTTCTACAATTAATACGTGCAGAGGTGATAGTTTCCAGTGGGAAAGGACAGTATCACCATTCGGTCACACACCAATGTTAACATGGATATTCTCGGGTGGCCTAGGACAAGTTCTTCCACCGGGGGCGGGGGGGAAGAAATAAAAATCTCCCTTTTTCCCCTTTTAGGTACTGGTAATACTGTCATTGAGGCTGTCAAAGTTCTTGTAGAACATGGCGTACAACCAAGTGTCATTATCCTGCTAAGCCTATTCTCCACGCCTCACGGTAAGTTGAGGGGGTGCGAGGGGGACGGAGGGCTGAGCACAGGTACATTTAACGGGGAAGAGTTACGTTAGTCACGCTTCAGACAGCGGCGAAGAGCTGTTCCTTTGCAAGTAACGACAGCAGCATCGCTTCGCTCAGAAGAGAGGTTTGGGTTTTTGGCTGAATCGTAAAACCGAGAGTGAACCGCGACACGTGTGGTGTGGGCAGGGGAGTGGGCTAGCAGAAAGGAAAAGGCCCGTTACACCTAATGGCAAAACTGCAGATGGTGACGTATTCCTAAAAGCAGGAATCTGCAGCGCTGCCAGGTACCCAAAATGCTTCAGTGGCTCACAAAGCCACTCCTGCTGTTGCTCTGGACTGCAGCAGCCCACGGATGGTGTTGAGTTGGTCCGCCACCAAAAGAATACCAGTTCTGTAAGGAGCGTGAGGTAAATGAAGCTACAGAACTGTCCTGTCCGCACGTTAAAGATCTTACCTTGTAAAAGGGGATCCAAAAAAGGAACATCTGTTTCTGTGAAGTAGGAAAATGGATCGTGTGCGCTGTTTTAAAAATGGGCCGTGGCAGAAAGCACTATCAAAAAAGTCAACTGACCGGCAGAGAGCCATTCCTGGCAGTCTGTAACCACGTTGGCGATTAGATTGGGAGTATACGTGTACGGTAAAGAAAAGAAAAAACAAATAAGAAAACCCAAAAAAGCAATCCACTAAATTCGGGAAGTTTTTCCTCATAGACAGTCAGCTAAGGCAGAAACGTGAAGCGGAGATGGAAGAAGAGAGCCCGATTTATCTACGGAATTCTGCTAATCGTGGTTTAACGTGTGGTGCTGAAATACAGCTGCGGTGCTGTAGTCCTTATTGCCTTTGCCCTCTCTCAAAAGGTGCCAAGTCCATCATCCAGGAATTCCCAGAGATCACAATTTTAACTACAGAAGTTCATCCTGTTGCACCAACACACTTCGGACAGAAGTATTTTGGAACAGACTGACACACGGAACAAACGGATATGACTATATGATGAGACAAGAGGGGTTTTCCTACGTTTTATTATTGTGGAGTTGGTTGAGGGCACGTTTAAAAATCTTTTTGGCCAGAGGGGGAAATACTTGACTTGGATCAGTTCGGGTCAGTTACTGCCTGAACGCTGAATCAGGTGCAGTAACGAAGCACTCTGTCATTACAAAGTCAAGCATCTCAATGTTGGGGTTCTATACATTGCTACACTCTCTGCTTTAACTTATTTATTCTTCTATAGCCTGAATTTTTTGGTGCAACTGGATTTACAGCACCTAACTAGGTAGAGACTGACAGTAAACGTCATGAAAGAAATCCTTTGGGCCTTTTCCATAATGCATCATACAGACCTATCCTACAGACTGCACCAGTGAAAGGGGAAATGGATTTTGCCCCTCAAAGAGCTATTTGCATGTTAAAAAAACTACCATGCACTCGGCTGAATACTTTATCTCTTTTGCTACCTGCAGCAGTGACTACAGACAGCCTGAGGATTTCTGTTTTCCAGTGCATTTACCTAGCATATTCAACAGAACTTTACACACCCTGCATTTAACACATTCTTTGTATGCAACTTTCTTTCAGAAGCTAAGGAAAAAAAAAGTCAATTTAAAAAGTAAATAGCAGCCCGGCTTTAAAACCACAGGTAGCAGGGGGCGCAGTCAAAATTACTGCTTTTACGCTGCCCAGATCTCTAGTTAACAGCCTTTTGAAAGGCCAAAAATACTAATTGGAAAAAACTGCATTCTCCTTAGTAGGCCATCTGCAATTATGCTTGTGGCATCGGCTGCAATAATGCACCGAGCAAAAAGATCTCGGCATCAGTATTTTGAGAAACACGAAGTTTCCCCGCAGGGATCTGACTGTTCATTTACGTGCTGCCTTGAAGAGCACAGACGCATAATGTCTTCAGCAAACGCCACGCTGACGCCGTCCTCCTGGACACCCACCTTTCACTGCAGCTTTCTGCACTCAGCTTTAACCACGGGATGCAGAGGAACCTGCCCGACTGTTCTGTGGCACTGGAACGCAGCGTAAGCGGCACAAAGGCCAGGTGTAGCGTAAGGCTGTCGCCTTCAAGTAAGCAGAAGAGAACAAAATGGAGCTTGTTCAGTCACTCAGACACGCGTTTCCTCCGCATTTTGTTCTGCCTCATTTTTACACAACTTTTGTGTTTCATGTTTCATTCTGAAGCTTTCAGAAATCCGACGTGTGAATATTCTTTGAAGTGGTTCTGAAACTATCAAACTATTTATTGTTTCTACCTGGGCAAGAGTTTGTCATAACCAAGTGAGGCTGAGCTGCTTTTAAGGGAAGGGAAAAATCAGCCATAACTAATTACAAGAAAAGTTACTGAGTAAGAGCAAGTTACTTGGAAACCTTTAAAGCTGGTTCTAGATCTGAGCTGGACAGCTGCGTTATCATAAAGACATCCGTTTTAATAATAATTAGAAGACAAAAATTGACTTTATATACTACCTAATGGACAGTGCTGCAGCTGGACAGCGGGCAGGGCTACTGCCTGCAGATCTTGTAGGTAGCTCTTCTGCTGCTGCTGCTTGGCAGAGAAACGACACTGAAAGAATGACACGGCTGTAAACAGAACCAAACCCAGAAAGGGTACAGGAACCTGCTCAGAAAAATCCCGTAAATCCACGCAGCTTCAGACACAGCTCTGATACTCCTATCTTAGAAATACACTTCCGTTGACAGAATGAAACAGAAAGTCACCAAATCATCCTCCTGTTCTTACAGACGAGGAATTTAGAGTTTTAAAAGGCACAAATAGCACCTCTGTTGGTGCTAAATTCCTATACATCTCCTATTGTGTTTAGCTGCCATCTTCCTCTCAAGATCCCCCTGCAGAACACATTTTGCCAGAAATGAGGCGATTAATTCTACTGCCATCTTTCATCAAACACAGCTTAAGGTCCACCACGAGATTTACATTAGAAATACAGGTTTAGTTTGATAGGATTGAGGTGCTGGAGCGCGTCCAAAGAAGGGCAACGAAGCTGGTAAAGGGTCTAGAGCTCAAGTCTGATGAGGAGCGGCTGAGGGAACTGGGGTTGTTCAGCCTGGAGATTTTTTTTCTCTACAACTACCTGAAAGGAGGTTGTAGCGAGGTGAGTGTCAGTCTCTTTTCCCAAGTAACACGCGATAGGACAAGAGGAAATGGCCTCAAGTTGCGCCAGGGGAGGTTTAGATTGGATATTCGGAAAAATTTCTTCCCCGAAAGGGTTGTCAAGGATTGGAACAGGCTGCCCAGGGAAGTGGTGGAGTCACCATCCCCTGGAGGTATTTAAAAAACCAGGGACATGGTTTAGTGGTGGACTTGGCAGTGCTAGGTTAACGGTTGGACTCGATCTTAAAGGTCTTTTCCAAGCTAAATGATTCTATGATTCTGCCTGCTCCCCAAACAGGCTGGGAATTTAAAAGCTCGGATATGGAGGGATGGTACCTGAGTATGTAAGTTCTCCCGAGAGCACAGCACTGCCAAACAAGACCTAGATCATAATTTAGCAAATTACTGAACACTATTAAAAATGCCTCTTTTAAGGTGCAAAATTCTCCTCCAGCTCTTTAAAACTCTAGCATGCCAGACCTGCTGATTTAAAAATAACCAGCTGGAATAACCTCCTGAGATATTGTTTGAATGGAAAATACTTTGTTGTATAAGACATAAATATGGGCTTCTCTGCCCACCAGAAGAGAAGGGACCCTCCATCCGCCTGCCTACCGAAGGAGAGGGCCTGTCGCCAGCACGGTACAGCAATGAAGGCAGAGTACTGAGATGGAGAAAAGAGCAAAGTTAGACTGTTAGGAATTGTTATATCCTTAGGTTTCCTCTCAAGTTTGTTCCGGGCTGGTACATTAGTGTAAATTGGCTTCATTTGCCTGCTCAGTACCTGGCTCTGCTAATACTTTAGAGTATATAAGGATTTGAGTTTGTCGGGTCTTTTTTTTTTTTTTTTTTTGCTACAGGTTTAGAAGCTCCCAAGAGATTCAGATTTTTCTCACCTCACTGCATTTGGATTATTACTTATCTATATTGTGAATAAATTATTTTAATATCTTTTTAGAAAAAAACCCACCAACATTTTTCTCATCTACCACTGCATACCAAATAACCAGTTTTTAAGACCCTGGGGGATTTAAAGCAAATTTATTTACCCTCATTGAAGGAAACGACATTAAACTTACCATGGAAAAGTGTTGTAATTCTCCTTCACTATACATACATTAGCAAATTGAAAACACTTAAGTATGCATTACACCATGCTTTTGCTATAGATTTTGGATTTTTTCCCTATGCTGCAAAGTTCTCTATGCAAATATATTTTCCCCTACAAGCTTTTTGAAATACACTGCTCCACCAATCCTAATTTTTTCAAAGCTGTTAAGGAGATATGTGTGCACAGGCCATTAGTTGTTATTAATGTCAACTGGATACTGAAATCCACTAAGTAGTTTTGAAAAATCAGAGCTTATTCTGCATCTGATTGACCCTGTGAGAGCATTTACAAATAAACTCCACCAAATCACACCGAGGGAGGTACTTTTCCTTAGCTGTCTGCCCTGGACCTCAGGTACAAGTTTTTACCACTGAAGCAAGGCGTGGAATCAGCAGAACCCAGCTGCCATCTCTGCGCACCACTGGGTGTTCATCTCCCAGCAAACTGGCAAATACCTGCCTGAAGAGTCTGAACTCACCCAGAGAAGTAAAGAATAACATGTTTTATTCCTCTGTTGTTTGCCATTTGATGATCTTCAAGACTTTTGGTAACATTAATCAATTAAAATTATTTTACTGAGGGGAAAAGAAAGTGACAAACAAACAAAATTACTTGTCAGATGTCATAAAATACTGAGAGGCTGTTCCAGGAGCATAAACCATCGTCTTATCCCTCCGTTCAAATAGTAGAATATGCTCCACCTCCCATTTGCTCAATAATCCCTAACATTTTGCTGTTAGGTTACTGGTGTATAACAAAGCCACTTTTATCCTGCTCTGACCTTGCCTGGTATTCAGAAAAGGCAGGGAGAAGATACAGGATTCACTTTCATGCACAAATCACTCTCTCGCAGTCACATTGCCTCCTATTTCTTCAGTTCTTTGAGGTCTGCCATTGGAGCACTCTGATGGACGTCCTGCTGATTTACTAATTGCCAATACTCACACTTGGTGGCTGTCTTATCAATTGTCAGCACAAGGCTTTCCATGATAAAGTGGATCAATTGCGTGCCGATCAACTGCCCCCTGAATTATCGATGTTTGACAGCGGAATTAATTTTTTGCCTGCTTCAAAGATGTCTGCCAAAAATGAAAGCGTACATACACATTTAGCCACAGGGTCTCTCTCTTCAGGGGATACAGTTTCTCCAACCACAGGAACCTGTCGGAGGTAGGAGCACTGTCTACAGAAAAAGATCCATTTGTCACGGGTCAGGAACAAGGCAACTTTTCCCAATGACAAATATTTTGGTTCATTAAAACCGCAAAAGTCCTTTGTGACATTAAATTTACCCTTCCCAATTTTTATTTTTTTTAATTTTACTCACATTGAGCAGTCAAACCAGATCTCTTAGGTCATGGTTTGACCCTACGGTAAATCCAACTGTAATGCAGGATCTATATTGCAACAATGATGCGAAGGACTGATCTGATTTAAACTCAACTCTCCCAATTCCAATTTGCTTTAACAAACGTAACAGGTTAACCTTCTGCAAGCAAGTTTTATGCTGGATTAGGCATCACCTCTCCGTCACTCCAACTATATGCTGTATCATCTGTCTTTCTGCAGCTGGAATAAACTTCTGTGCTTTATGTTCCGGTTAATTCAACAAAAATATAGTTGGGAACCTACATCTGCTCCAGATGAAACTGGGACTGCTTCAGCTCTCCATTACTAATGATTTTGGTATCATGGCCTTCAGTGAGTTTCTAACCCACTTCCTTTCCTGGTCCCATGCTGTAGCAAGTAAAACTGATGAGAAATATGCCATGTACCTGACCCCTCCATTCTCTCTAGCACGAACACTGTAGCTGCCTTTAAGTTCTCAAGTCTGAAGGGGGAAATTTAAACTGTGACTATTTAAAAACACTTCATTTACATTAAAAGTTGAGCTTGTGTTTTTCTACCCACTTACTTATGGTTCAACAAACTTCAAATGCAACCCATCCCTAAACTTGATGGTAATCTCACTACTATTATAATAAACTGC